TTTTCCCACAGGCCACTTTAATGGGACCATTTTCACATTTTCATTCTGTGGATGGGGCACAAACTCTGCTGGCTCATGGTGGGGGTGGGGACCTAAGAGTTTGAAATCCATTCTCAGGTTTCCTTTGGATAGGATAGAGAAAAAGGGGAGAGCCTCAAACAGCTAACTTGCCCCCACTCTTCCAAATCTCTTCCCAGGCTTTCTCCCGACTCATCCTGATTCTTCGTGCCCTACACGTGAACAATGATCGGGCGAAGGTGATCCTGAAGCCAGATAAGACTACTATTACAGAACCACACCACATCTGGCCCACTCTGACTGATGAGGAGTGGATCAAGGTGGAGGTGCAGCTCAAGGATCTGATTTTGGCCGACTATGGCAAGAAAAACAAGTGAGCAGTGGTGCTGGGGAGACAGATGGGAGGTCCAAAAAGGGTCAGGTGGGTGGCTTAATACATGGTTTCTGGGGTTTTGAAACATTTAGGCTCAGAAGTTTCTGAAGAAATTATCTTAGAGATGCCTATAGAAGAGCGATAGGCAGCATCTTCAGATAGTATGGAAAGTCTGTGTTTCAGGGCTTCACTCTGGCTCTTGGCCATTGTTTCTCAGTGGAGGCACTGTTGCCTTTTGAGCAGGGCATTTCTTTACTGTCCATGTATTTACAGGAAGTCTTAACATCCTGGACCCCATGTACCACTGCTGATAACACTCTCACACCTTCTTCCCTTCCCCTCCCTCCCTCCCTCCCTCCTTGTCATCATGGCAGCCAAAAATGTCCATAGATTTCCAAATATCCCCTAGGGTGACTGACAGTACCACTTCTGATCACTAGTATTCTGTGGTTTCTGGTGTTTCCATTTTTGAGAACTGTCCTGAGCCAGGGCAGTTTTCTTCAAGGAAGAGTGGGAGTTCAGGATGCTGAATAGCTAGAAGGTACACATGCAGACTGCCATCCTGCTTGCAGTCTGATGGATCTTAGAAGTATTTGTGCATCTCCACTTCACACTTCCTTTAGAAGTGTCACTTGAGGATTGTCTGGGACAAGAATATAGGCTGCCCTGTCCTACCAAGTTATAACCTTGCCATTGAAGCAGAAGTGACCAAGGGGAGGGAATCTTTGTGGTGTAACCACACTGTCCCCACAGTGTGAACGTAGCATCACTGACACAATCAGAAATTCGAGACATCATCTTGGGTATGGAGATCTCAGCACCATCACAGCAGCGGCAGCAGATAGCTGAGATTGAGAAGCAGACCAAGGAACAGTCACAGCTGACTGCAACACAGACTCGCACTGTCAACAAGCATGGTGACGAGATCATCACCTCTACCACCAGCAACTACGAGACCCAGACTTTCTCATCGAAGACTGAATGGAGGGTCAGGTACTGTAAAGGACAAGAGGGCAGGAATGGAAGGGCTTGCTTGCACTGCCTAAGGTGGTTGGGCTGAGAGATGCTGACATTCCCTACTTGGTTTTAGGGCCATCTCTGCTGCCAACCTGCACTTAAGGACCAATCACATCTATGTTTCATCTGATGACATCAAGGAGACTGGTTACACATATATCCTTCCCAAGAATGTGCTTAAGAAGTTCATCTGTATATCTGACCTTCGGGCCCAAGTGAGTAAGCATGCTCAACTAGGCTACAGTGTGTATCCAACATAATATGTGTCTAAAATTCACCTGAGATTTCCTGGAACTTGAAACTCTGGTTTCAAGATTCATGGACGAATAACTATACAAGGATAGCCAAAACATTGAGGAGGATTTTGGCTCCCGGGAGGTATCAAAACATATTATAAGGGCCGGGCGCGGTGGCTCACGCCTGTAATCCTAGCTCTCTGGGAGGCCGAGGCGGGCAGATTGTTTGAGCTCAGGAGTTCGAGACCAGCCTGAGCAAGAGCGAGACCCCGTCTCTACTAAAAATAGAAAGAAATTAATTGGCCAACTAAAAATATATAGAAAAAATTAGCCGGGCATGGTGGCGCATGCCTGTAGTCCCAGCTACTTGGGAGGCTGGGGCAGTAGGATCGCTTGAGCCCAGGAGTTTGAGGTTGCTGTGAGCTACGCTGACGCCACGGCACTCACTCTAGCCAGGGCAACAGAGTGAGACTCTGTCTCAAAAAAAAAAAAAAAACATAAGGCTGTGGCAATTAAGAGAATGTAGTAAATGTAGTATTGGCCTAAAAGTTATTGGAAGAGAATAGCATATAGTCAGAAATAGATTCTTGCGTATGTAATAAATTCATGTTTATGGACTAAAGATGTCTTATGATATTAAAACAATTGGAAAAAGGTTAGATCTCTGCTTCACTCCACTTACAAAATCTAGGTATAGTGAAAAATCTATAAAGAACTGCAAATGGCAAATATAATTTGAAAATATATTCAACTTTATCAGAGATGTTCGTATTTTAGAAAACACCATTTTGTGGCCATCAGGTTGGCAAATTTGAAAAGATTGTTACTATCCTGTGTGGATGAGTTTACAAGAAACAGTTCCTCTTACTTGGTTAATGGCAGCGTAAAATTTAAAATACCACCTAGTGGGCTTGGGCACAGTTGCCCATGCATGTAATCTCAGCACTCTGGGAGGCCAAGGCAGGAGGCCAAAAGTTCAAGACCAGACTGGGCAACATAGTGACACCCCATCTCTGCAATAAATAAATTAGCTCCATGTGGTGGCACACACCTGTAGTCCCACCTGCTTGGGAGGCTGAGGCAGGAGGATCTCTTGAGCCCAGGAGATCAAGGCTGCAGTGAGCTATGATTGTGCTACTGCACTGCAGCCTGGGCGACAGCAAGACCCTGTCTCTAAAAGATAAAATACCACCTAGTGCTGGTTTTACAGATATGTTTAGCTTGTGAAAATTCATTAAGCTATATGCTTTGTGCCCATTTGTTGATGGATACTATAATTATCAACTGAAGAGCTTGTGAACAGTGCAGATTGCTAAACACCACCCAGGAGATTCTGGTGTGGTTAAGCCTGGGATGAGTTCCATGTTAAGCATTTTTAACAAGCACCTCAGGTGATTCTGATGCAGGAGGTTCTGACCACATTTTGAGAAACCCTGTCCTTGTTCTTGGGAAGGGAAGGAAACACAGGGCAGACAGCCCAGACTTTGAACTGGTAGTAAGAATAGTTGTGGTTCTTGACCCCTTTGTCTCCAGATTGCAGGGTACCTGTATGGGGTGAGTCCACCAGATAACCCCCAGGTGAAGGAGATCCGCTGTATCGTGATGGTACCACAATGGGGCACTCACCAGACTGTGCACCTGCCTAGCCAGCTGCCCCAGCATGAGTATCTCAAGGTAAGTGGTGGCGACAGATCTTTGAGTGTGCGAGAACTGGGGCTTTCTGCTATCAGAGAGGTGGAGGGAAGGCAGGCATGTTACTCTCACAGGTGGGATTACTGTCTGCCAATGGGATTCTGAACAGGTCTCTACTGCTCTTTGCCTGTAGGAGATGGAGCCCTTAGGTTGGATCCACACTCAGCCCAATGAGTCCCCCCAGTTATCACCCCAGGATGTCACCACCCATGCCAAGATCATGGCTGACAACCCATCTTGGGATGGCGAGAAGACCATTATCATCACCTGCAGGTGGGCTTGAGCCCACTTGGGAGGAAGTAGTGGGGTAGGCATTGCAGGCCAGGGCCCTGAATGATGGCCTGAGCTCTTACTCTGTCCTCATTCTTGCCCCAGCTTCACACCAGGGTCCTGCACACTGACAGCCTACAAGCTGACCCCCAGTGGCTATGAATGGGGCCGTCAGAACACAGACAAGGGCAATAACCCCAAGGGCTACCTACCCTCACACTATGAGAGAGTCCAGATGTTGCTGTCAGACCGCTTCCTTGGCTTCTTTATGGTCCCTGCCCAGTCTTCGTGGAACTACAACTTTATGGGTAGGTGGGCTGTATGTGTTTGTGTGTAAGTGGGGGGAGCACAGGAAAGGGGGAGGGTTCTGGGGGATAATGTTAGACCATCACTCTTAGCTCTTGGGGCTGACTCTGGCTTGGAGATGGCCCAGGCTGCATGAGGCAGGTGGACCCTTGTTAACATTTGATGTCTCCTTCTCCCCTAAGGTGTCCGGCATGATCCTAACATGAAGTATGAGCTACAGCTGGCAAACCCCAAAGAGTTCTACCATGAGGTGCACAGACCCTCCCACTTCCTCAACTTTGCCCTTCTGCAGGAGGGTGAGGTCTACTCTGCGGACCGCGAGGACCTATATGCCTAGTTGTTCCCTTACCTCCTCCTGCTTCAGAGTCCCCAGAGGTTGGAGCCTCTTAGCCCCCACAGACAAGCTGGTGACATTCAGCAGCTTGGCCCCTTTTCCCTCTGTATTGTGCTTATTGTGTTGTTGATCTGATGGCTTGTAATTGTGAACAAAATATAATAAATTTTGTATAAATGTTTTGGGGGCTGTTTTTTCCCCCCGAGCTCAAATTCTGGGTGTAGGTCTGGGTAGGTTTGGCAGATTGGGGCAGTTGACAGCAAGGTGCCGGACTCATCCTTGACAGGGGATACAAGGCCCCCTCCCTGTTCAGGGCTGTGCGGCTAGATGTCCCCTAGACTCGGAGCTCAGGTGGGGTCGGGCTTTCACACTCCTGCTACCTCAACCACATTTATTGGTTTCCCTCCAAAATATAGTACTTGGCAAATCATTGCCCCTTTCAACCTCTCTGGGTCTAGGTGTGCCCTGCAGCTGTGGTACCCAGCCTAGCCCCCTTTAAAGCTTCCTGAGTCACTCTCAGTCAAGGAAACAAGCACACGGGTGACAGTTTGGCTGTCCCGTGCCAGGCAGAGGCCAGTGACTAGCCTCATACCTGTCACCTCTTGCCTCTGGTGCTTGGCTGCCAAGTTGGCCCCATGACTCCAAACACGGGGTGGAGCCTGGATAGGGCACTGTGGGGATGGCTTGACCTAAGTGACCACTTGCAGCCCTGAGCCTCTTGAATGACTGGCAGGAAGGTGGCTGTCCTGTTGCCTGTGACCTTGGGGATTGAACAGGACAGGGCCCTGGGGGCCTAAGTACTATCTCTCTTCCCTACGCCTTTTCTCTTAATCGCTCCTCCCCCACTCCCTGTAGCTTCTACCCCGGAACTGTTTGGGTTTTTCCTGTCCTAGCTGAGGGGGGAGTGGGGTTAGTCATAGCCCCAGGCCTTTGGGGGACATGGAGCCCAGGAGGGCGGCGCCTGGAGCACACGGCTGGGGGCCTCGAGTGGCAGCAGGGTCGGGGACGTCCGCAGAGCTCGTGTACCATCTTGCGGGGGCCCTGGGCACTGAGCTGCAAGAGCTGGCGCGCCGTTTCGGGCCAGAGGCGGCGGCCGGGCTAGTGCCGCTGGTGGTGCGGGCGCTGGAACTCCTGGAAAAGGCTGCGGTGGGGCCCACCCCGGATTCGGTGAGCCACTGCCCCCTCCCCTCGCCACCCGCGAGGCCTGCGGGGCCGAACCCTGAGACTTCGGCCTCCCCAGCTGCAGGTGTCGGCGCAGCAGGCCGAACGGGAGCTGCGGAGGCTGCGGGAGGAGAACGAGCACCTCCGCAGGGAGGTGCGCGCTGGGCCACAGGGTGAGTGCAGGCCCCGGCCAGGACGAGGGAGATTGGGGGCCAGCTCGGGGCCGCCCCTCCGCAGGCCGCCGCTTAGAACGCCCCTTCCTCAGAGGAGCGCGCGCTGCTGCGGCAGCTCAAGGAGGTGACGGACCGACAGCGGGACGAACTCCGGGCTCACAACCGGGACCTGCAGCAGCGCAGTCAGGAGACTGAGGCGGTGAGGGCGGGGCGGCGGGCGCGGGGCGGGGCTCCGTCGGGCCGTGGGCGCCCCGCCTACCAGCCCCCACCTCCTGCTCCGCCCCCAGTTGCAGGAGCAGCTGCAGCGCCTCCTGCTGGTGAATGCAGAGTTGCGGCGCAAGCTGGCAGCAGTGCAGACCCAGCTGCGCGCCACGCAGGACCGCGAGAGGGAGCGCGAGCAGCCCCGCGAAGGTGCCCTCGAGCCGGCTAAAGAGCGGGCGCGGGGCCAGGCTGGGGGTCCCGGGTGCGAGCAGAGTCAGGAACCCGAACGGCCGGCCGTCGTCGGCACAGGAGCCCCGGGGACCCCTGAGGACCCGGTGAGTGCCGGATGAGGGCAGGAATCCATCCCAGTACTCAGTATCTGGCACTCGAATGGGCACTTGGGCAAGGTTTGCCTTGTTGCGTAGCAGGTCCGCCAGGAAGTCGGAAGTGGCGCACCAGTTTGCACCCCCAGTCAGTCTCGCCTCCATTCTTAGCCTGGAGCACCGTTGTGTCATCTGTTGTAGCACCCTTGTCCCTTAAGTCTCCCTGCCAGTTACCTCCTCTAGCAGTCCTGTGATGGCTACCGGGCAAGGACCCTCTGACCATGCCTGTTCCGCAGGCGGTGGCCACCCAGCAGCCATGGCGCCCCTCGGAGGCAGGGCAATGCGGGTTCAGTCGGGAGGAGCTTGAGCAGATTCTTCAGGAGCGGAATGAACTCAAAGCCAACGTGTTCCTGCTCAAGGAGGAGTTGGCCTACTTCCAGCGGTGAGGGCTCCGGGAAGCTGAGGGAGCTCCGTTCACATCTGTTCCTGGGCCTCAGATCACCCCACCTCATTCTTTGGTTCACTGATGTATCCACAGTGACCTGTGCCAGGCCCTGCCCTGGGCACTGGGAGGACATGAATTACACAGCCCCTGCTCTCCCGAAACTTCAAACAGGGGAGAGGGTCACAGCACAGCAGCAGTAGGGGTTTCCCAGGAGGGGTGCCACCTAAGCTCAGTTAGTCTAAGGGGGTCAGCAAGGCAAAGTGTTTCAGATGTTTCCAGGGGGAACAACATGCCCAAGTACTTGGGGTGATACCTACTGTTGGCATCTCCACCGCTTTCTCCATGCCCCTGCCCCTGCCCTCTTCTGTAGGGAGCTGCTCACAGACCACCGGGTCCCTGGGCTTTTGCTTGAAGCTATGAAGGTGGCTGTCAGGAAGCAGCGCAAGAAGATCAAAGCCAAGATGTTAGGGACGCCAGAGGAAGCAGAGAGCGGGTATGTCCCTGCCTGCGTTCCCACTGAGTGAGCCCTCCCTCCCTCATTCTGCTGAGCCTGATGGCCCACCCCCCGAGCCTGTGTCCAGCCTGCCACCCTTCCCTCTGGATCACACTGTTCCCCCATGCCCTGCCTGTGGTACATCCCGCTGAAGAAATCTGCTAATGCCGCTTCTCCACATTCATTGTTCCTTATTCCGTATCCTGCCCTGGCTGGGTCTGTGTGCTCTTAGAGGGGTGAGATCATAGCTGCAGCCGTCTCAGGAGCCTGCTGTCTGTCAAGCTATAAAATAAAAGCCTCAAGATGTCCTGCATCTCTCCAGCATCTCCTCTTCCAGCCTTGTGGGCCCTGCAGTCACTCTGTCCTCCCCCTGCTGCTTCTGGGGGCCTGGCAGAAGGCCCAACATGATCCCAACTTCCATCACCCCTCAGGGCCTTGATAAATGGCCCTCACATCTCTCTCCTCTGTCTCAGTGATGATGAGGATGGCTCATGGCTCCTGCTCACCAGCGATAAGGGAGACCACCCCCCACCCCCTGAGTCCAGAATACAGAGTTTGTATGTTGGGGGCAGGGGAAGGGCAAGAGTGGGGGGTGGAGGAGGGGCCCCACCTGGTTCTTCTCAGTGCCCCCTTTCCCTCCGCTGCCTGTCGCCCTGCTGCCCTGGGCTCTAAGTACACCCTCCCTCCTTCCTCTCTGGCCCTGGCCCCTGCCCTCCCCACTTCTGCATGCTGCTCTTCCTTCCCTCTCTGTCTCTTGCCCTCAGCCCAAGTCCTCGACCTCTCTGGCTTTCTGGCTCAGAGGGCCTCTTGGCTCTCTCCCCAGCTTTGGCCCGTGGTATCGGGGTGAAGCAGAGGCACCCGAAGCTGAGACAAGCAGCGGCGCTCCCAGCAAGCTAGGGCGAAAAGAGGAAGCTCCCCGGCAGCCTCACTCGGAGCCTGTGGGCAGCCCTACAACCCTCAGCCCCTGAGCAGCCCTGCTCCGCTCCCGATGAACATCTTCGTCTAGGGGCCTCCGCTGCCTCCGCTGCCCCTGACTTTGGGGTCTGGCTGCGGGTGGATGTGTGACCTCAGAGGGGGACAGGGCTCCTTCCTTTGCAGCACTGCCCAGAGCTCTTCCCAGTCCCGGCTTGCACCAGGGCACGATGGGGAGTGCAGCCTGCCTCCGCTCTCCTCACCGGGCCTCTGGGGCCAGATGTGAAAGTGTGTCCCTGAGTCTCAGCTTCCCCATCCCAGGGGTTTGGGTAGATGGCCTGAGCTAATGCAATAAAGCAACTGCGCGTAACACCCAGAAATGGTTCCATGTCTTTCTGTCCGGGGTCTGTCCCCACCTCCCAGCTCTGCCCAGCGGAAGGCTGAGGGTTCCCCACAGGGTGTCCTTGGTCAGTCACTGGGGGGGAGGCCTCGCCCAGCTCTGACTGCACTTTGGGACTGTGGCCTGATGGACAGCCTGGCTCCCACCCTCACCCACCCTCACCCACCCCTTTGCCTGTCCCCGATACCCAGGGACCTGCAGCGTCCTCCTCTGGCCGCCTCCAGACTAAGACCAGCCCCTTAAACCCCACTCAGCCCTTCATGCACCTTCCTTTCCCTTTCATTTTTTAGCGTTGGTCTCCCCAGCACTCGCCCGCCCTCTCAGGGAGGTGCCTCATGGCATCCCGCCCCTCCGGCCTGGTTTCCTCAGGAAAAGCCTTGGGAGGAAGTAGGGAGGGGGTCGGGAGCTGTGGGGGCCAGATTAACCCAAGCCCTCCCACTGCACTGGCCGCCATGGGGCTGAGACTGCTGCTCCCATTGCTGCTGCTGTGGTCTCCGGGGACCCAGGGGTCCGAGCTGGACCCCAAGGGGAAGCACGTCTGTATGGCCAGCAGGTGGGTCTTGTGGGAATCTGATGGGGGAGGCGCGAGGCATTTTGGGGAAGGAGGCGATGGGGAAGAGGTCATGGGGCTGAAGGGAGGGGGTTTGGGGGGCAGCATGGAGGGTGGTGGAAAGTCACAGCAGGTAGAGGAAAGGCCAGGGAAGGAGAGGAGAGGGGCTGGGGACACCAGGGCTGCGAAGCTTGGCTAGGCCTCCCCAGTGGGGCTGGGGCAGCCTCCCAACCTCAGCGAACGACAGTGACCCGCCCTGTGGGGCCAGGCTGCCTGCCCCTCTACTGACTCCTTTTTGCCCCACAGCCCCTCTGCTGAGCTCCAGTGCTGCCCAGGCTGGAGGCAGAAAGATCAAGAATGCACCATCCGTGAGTCCAGGAGAAGGGAGGACATAGCCCGGTGACAGCCCTTCCTTCCTACCCTTCTGAGCCCTAGCGCCAGGGTTTATCCTGTGACCGCCCCTCCAGCCCTAGGGGGTGGCTCTTTGACAGGGGCAGGGGTGTCCTCTGGTCCTGCACATCCCAGTCCTTCCGACCTGAGTGGGATGTTTTTCAGCCATCTGTGAGGGGCTGGATGCCTGCCGGGAAGATGAGGTGTGCGTTAAACCAGGCCTCTGCCGATGCAAACCTGGATTCTTCGGGGCGCAGTGCAGCTCTCGTGAGTCTCAACTGCAGGATAAGGTTGCCGGGCAGAACTGGCCATGGGGGTGGGGCGGGGGGAGGCGCAACGGGTAGAAACGTAATCTTAGAACATCAGGACCAGGATCCCTCCAAGCTTTGCTGAGGAAATTGAAGCCCAGAAACAGGAAGTGACACACTCCTGGGAGATTCCCTGGGTCATCTGGTTTTTACTCACACCCATAAAGCCCTGCCCACTCTGGCCCTTCGCCTTCATTTTCAACTTCTCAGAAGAGGTGCCCGTGATTCCTGTTTATTGCAAATGGGTGCATTCCCAGTCTCCCCCACATGCACCTCATGGGGGGTGGGAGGTGGAAGGAGGTCCCTGGCTGGGTGGCTGCCCTCTCTGGCAGGAAGAGAGGATGGGAAAGGGGGTGGTAATCAGGATGGCCAGAGGGTGGGCACCAGGGGTCACTGCCGTGGAAGGAAACACTGGGGGGAAATGTGACTTCTCCTGTGACCTTGGTGGGCAGCATCCAGGCTTGAGATCTGGAGGAAGCCCAGCTCATGTCCTGCCCAGCACAGTCCCAGCAGGGAAGGAGGACGGAGCATGAAGGATGTCCCACCCACCTCTGCGTGACTCTGGGCAAGCCCCTTTCCCACTCAGGATCTCTGAGTGTGTTCTGGAATGTGAAGTGGGAGGCTGGGCCACTGCTAAGGACTTTTGTAGTTCAGAGGCTGGGGCAGGAAGTGAGTTGTGCCCAGGAGGACAGGCTGCCAGATGTTCGAAGGGTCTGTCGGCCCCTCTTCCTTGTGGGAGGGGACACAGGGCGAAGATCCGTGCCCAGCCCTGAACCCGCTGACCCCTTCCGTCCCCACCCCCGCAGGTTGCCCGGGCCAGTACTGGGGCCCCGACTGCCGTGAGAGCTGCCCCTGCCACCCGCACGGCCAGTGCGAGCCGGCCACGGGCGTGTGCCAGTGCCAAGCAGACCGCTGGGGCAGCCGCTGCGAGTTCGCGTGCTTCTGTGGCCCCCACGGACGCTGCGACCCCGCGACGGGCGCGTGCCGCTGCGAGCCGGGTTGGTGGTCGCCCACGTGCCGCCGCCCGTGCCAGTGCAACCCGGCGGCGGCGCGCTGCGACCCCGCGACGGGCGCCTGCCTGTGCGAGCCAGGCTGGTGGGGCCGCCGCTGCAGCTTCCGCTGCGCCTGCAACGGGTCGCCGTGCGCGCAGGAGTCGGGCCGCTGCGCCTGCCGGCCGGGCTGGTGGGGCCCCGAGTGCCGGCAGCAGTGCGAGTGCGCGCGCGGCCGCTGCAGCGCCGCCTCCGGCCAGTGCGCCTGCCCGCCCGGCTTCCGCGGCGCGCGCTGCGAGCTGCCCTGCGCGGCCGGCAGCTACGGGCCGCAGTGCCGAGACCGGTGAGCCCGCGCCCGCCGGGCAGCGCGCCGAGGAAGGGCGGGACGGGGCGCGGGCGGCGGGGAGAGATGGGCACGCGGTGGGAAGCGCGGGAGGAGGGGTAGGGGTCCGCGGTGCTCTCCAAAACATACGCAGGCAGGGATGAGACAGGAAAGAAAAAAACCTTCGTGACCCATAAAAATGTTTAAAATTAAAAAAAAAAAACCTTTGTTGTCCCTGGGCCTACCCCGCCCTCCCCTTTTATCCAATTAAGCAAAAGTACTAGTAGGTACTAGCAAGCCATCCTGAAATAAAGAATGAATCACGTGACCAAAGGATGGCAGGTCCCTTTAAGACACAGTGGCTTTCAAACTCTGCCTGGCTCCACTCACAATGAGACATCCCACCTAACACATATAACGCATATTCGTTCTATATAATGTAACTGAAATAAAAATGTAACCAGACAACACATACTTAACATACTTACCTTTGCTCTCTCTCTATATATACAATGTACTATTTTCTTTCTTTGTTTTTTAAAAATGCTGATGAGAATCAGTTAAACTGATTTTATACCTCCCCCCTTCTCCACCCTACTCACGCATCTGGCCCACGTGTGTGATTCCAGGTAGTTAAGTACTAGAGAGTACTGCCAGTAACTGTTAAGCATCAACGGGAAATTAAGATAAGGTAAACTTCAAGAGAAAGCTGGAGTGGGCAGGAAAAAAGATAAGGTAAATTTGAAATTATGTTGGTGAAAACAGTTTATATTGTATTTTATGCATTTTCATATTATGGGCAAACTACTAAGTCCGGTTCATGCCAGACCTGGGGGCAGCTGGTGTGGGAAGGGGAAGGGGAAGGCTGGGCAGAAGGGAAGCAGGGGCTGTGGTGACTTGGCTGCCCTGGCTGGGCTGCTAGCTCTGTCACCCTGGGACCCAGGGAAGGATGGGTCACAGAACTGGGGCTTAGACTCGGAGAGGGATGGAGTCCTATGAGAGCCCTCAGAGATCATCTCTCCAGCCTCTTCATTGTACAACATGGGGAAACAGGCCCAAACCTGCCTGAGTGACCCAGCTGGGACCTGAACACTCTCCAGGGCCCCTAAAGACCTGAGTGGCCGGTGCTCTATCCAGCCCCAGTCCCCTGTGAACACCTTCTCTTCCCAGCTGTGGCCACTGCAAGCAGAGTGAGCCGTGTTCTCCAGACACAGGCAGCTGTGCGTCCTGTGAGCCAGGCTGGAACGGGACCCAGTGCCACCAGCCCTGCTCACCTGGCACCTTTGGCGAGAGCTGCAGGCAGCAGTGCCCCCGCTGCCGGCTTGGGGAAGCCTGTCAGCCAGACACTGGGCACTGTCAGCGCTGTGACCCTGGCTGGCTGGGGCCCAGGTGAGGGGGCCACCCTGCTCAGGGTGGGGTGCACCTTCCGTCAGCATCCTTACCTTGAGTGGGCCGCCCCTCCCCTAACACATACATTCACACAGCCCTCTAGGGCTCCTCCTGGCGAAGGCTGCGGGAGAGAGGTGGGTGCTGAGGGGCCCTGAGCAGGATTGTCTTCTGGCTCCCCACTACTCAGGCCTCCTGCCCTCTTCCCCCCCGGGAAGTAACCTGTCACCTACTGGGTTCGGCCCTAGGTTCAAGGCTGTGTTTTCACCTGAGCTTCACTGCCGAGGAGTGCCCAGTTGGGTCCCTGAGTCCGGGAGCATGGGACAGATGGGCAGGTTCCCCACTGTGGGGCCAGGCCTGCCCTGCCTTCCCACTCCCTGAGCCTCGCCTCACCCTAGGTGTGAAGACCCCTGCCCCACTGACACCTTTGGAGAGGGCTGCGGCTCTCCCTGCCCCACCTGTGTTCAGGGGGCCTGTGATGCTGTGACAGGGGAATGTGTCTGCAGTGCTGGCTACTGGGGGCCCAGGTAAGGACTGGGGCCCTGGGGGGCAATCCGCTTCCTCAGCTTCCCTTCCTGGGCCTCTCTGCCTCCCAGATACCACTCAGCATGCTCATAACCAAGAAGTTATTCCTCCTGTTGTGGGGTGTTCCAAAGGAAAGTCAGATGATGCTTAATCTAAAAGGACTGGCTCCCTGACTAGGTGGAGAGCTTTTTTGGGAGCAGGGCTCCAAACCCTGTTGTCATTTCCCTAAGGTCTTCGGTGTAGAACGATCAGTGTCTCCAGTTAAGTTTTCCACCTTGAGGACAGCACGTCCTGTTAAATGGAAGAGACTTCATTTCACAGAAGAGAGGACAAAGGCCCAGAGAGTTAGGGGCAGCGCCGGGCCTGGCTCAGACCTCCAGACCCTGAGGGCATCTCTCTGGATGCCCTTGGCATCTTGCTTGTTTCCATTAGTGCTGAGTGGCAAGGGATGAGGACAGTTGCAGGTAGACCCTGCCCCCAGGGTTGCACACTGGCCAGGGAACAGCTGGGCAGCTTGTGGGTGGTCTCCCTGGAAGGTGGGCTTAGGGGCTGAGGGATTCTCCCAAACACTGCCAGGGGCACTTAGAATGTGGCTCAGAGGCTGGAGGGGCCCACTTAGGCATCATCTAGGAAGTCTACCTGGTGGAGGGTGGGGACAGTGCCCAGAAATCTACCTTCCCCTCTTCCCTGCCTGCCTCCATCCCTTCTCACCCAGCCTTCAGGCTGCCTCTCCTTCTTACATAGCTGCAACAATTCCTGCCCATCTGGCTTCTATGGAAACAACTGCTCAGTGCCCTGTGAATGCGAAGAAGGATCCTGCCACCCTGTCTCTGGGGCCTGCCAGCTAGGTAAGGTAGAGGGAAGGTGCGGAGGAAAAGCCTAGCTCAGGTGTGGGGAACCTTTTCATGTTGGAAGGTGAATTAATTTAGCTGTAATCAAAAGACCATATTCAAGAAACTTCAATTAGATATGCTTAAAAGTGTACATTATTTTTAAAAAATCTAACTACTATGTACTTAATAATTTTAAAAAATGAAAACTATTTGTTAATTTTAAAGTTAACCTTTTGATGACTTTGTTGTGTCTGCCTTTTGCTGGAAAGCGCTTGAATATTTGGTTGTGGCATGGAGGTCTGAAGTTTCAGTTGATCCTCTGGATGGGTATCAGTCATTTGTGACCTTAAGGGTGTCTTGATTTGGGTTAGGTAGGAGAATGTAGATTCGCAGCAATAAGCAGTTGAAAAGCAAGAAAGCATTTTTTGGGCATGTTGGTGAAGGCGTGGGTATTCTACTGCATTTTTCCATATTTCACTGGGATCTTTCTTAGCATCAAACAATAACTTTAAAATGTCGTCTAATGAGAGCTCAATCAATTTCCATCAGTAGTTCTTTAGGTGCCTTGGTGATATCAATTAGGTGAGGCTGAAACGCTAATTTGAGTGTGATATCATGATTCTCAAAGTCAGAAAACCTTTCTTTCTTTCTTTTTTTTTTTTTCTTGAGACAGAGTCTCACTCTATTGCCTGGGCTAGAGTGCTGTGTGGTGTCAGCCTAGCTCACAGCAACCTCAAACTCTTGGGCTCAAGCAATCCTACTGCCTCAGCCTCCCGAATAGCTGGGACTACAGGCATGTGCCACCATGCCCAGCTAATTTTTTATATATGTATTTTTAGTTGTCCAGCTAATTTCTTTGTATTTTTTTTAGTAGAGACGGGGTCTCGCTCTTGCTCAGGCTGGTCTCGAACTTCTGAGCTCAAGCAATCGGCCCACCTCGACCTCCCAGAGTGTTAGGATTACAGGCGTGAGCCACCACGGCCAGCCAAGGAAACCTTTCATTGTATTCTCCAGTTAATAGGTCTATAACAGCTGTGTATTCATCAAACGATTCCATATATCATTGTGCTCATCAATGACCTTTGCTACCTGGGGAAAATGTTCATCTAAAATTTTCTTTTGAAGAAGTGTTTTGAAAAAAGATAATAAAGCATTTTTAATTTAAAAAATGCTTGGATTTTTTGCCACATATATATAGACTTAGTTTTACCTTACAAAGAAATATTCAAGTCATTTCGGTTTGACATGATATCACATAGAAATGCTCTATTCCTATAGAAATCTTATTTTAATAATTCACATTACTGATTCTGTTCTTCATAAAATTTAACTGTCTGTTCATGCAGACATAAAATTTTGGCTAACAACTGTCCCTGCAATAGCCAACACACTTTAGAATGATAGAATGATACAGCAAATCCAGGCTGAATAGCTCATCCTTCTGAAACTGACAATGCTGTGTTGCATTTGCACCAATATGTTAATAATAATACTTATAACTTGTTGCTAAGTGTCACTTAAAATAGTAGCTTTAGCACAGAGATTTTGCTGATGGAACATACAATGAATAGAAATGAGAGCATCTGGATGTGTTAATACTTTTTTTAAATCTGGGCAATAAACGCTTCATGTTTTCCTGTCATGGAAGGTGCACTGTCTATACATACACTCACTGAATTTATCAAATTCAGTCCAACTTTATGACATTTATCTTGAAAGTTGTTGAAAACATCTATTCCCCCTATTCTGTCCACAAGAGTGCCCAAAATGAGTAACTCTTTGTAGCAAAGAAAATCTTCTGTTATGATCAGAATGAAGTATAAAGCCTGCACTGAGTCAGTAGTATCAGTTGATTCATCCAAAGCAATTGAATAATACATTTTGAAGTACTGCGTGAAGTTGTTCTGTTAAGTTGAAGGCTAATTCATGCTGCCGATCCGTTATGGGTCTCCTTGAAAGAGGCAGTTGTTTGTACTTTGAAACAATATCAGGGTCTAAGCATCTTACAACTTCGATAGTGCATTCTTTCACAATTTCTACATCACTGAGTGGCTTCCCTTTTTTCCAGAGTATATAAGCTACTTTATAAGTTGCTTCAGTGGCATTATTTTCAGGTCTTATTGTTGCTTGAAAGAATTGTCTTTGCTTTTCATCTTTTAATTTCTGCAATACAACCTTTCGTGCCTCTCCCTCTAGTAAAACATTTGTGATCCTTATGGGTGTTACAACGCTGATGAGCATTGAATTTCTTTAATGTTGATATTGCAGTATCACAAAGCAAGCAAATCATCTTATCTTTAGCAGAAACAAGATAATATTGCGGGCCGGGCACGGTGGCTCATGCCTGTAATCCTAGCACTCTGGGAGGCCGAGGCGGGCAGATTGCTTGAGCTCAGGAGTTCGAGACCAGCCTGAGCAAGAGCGAGACCCCGTCTCTACTAAAAAAATAGAAAGAAATTAGCTGGACAACTAAAAATATACATATAAAAAATTAGCCAGTCATGGTGGCACATGCCTGTAGTCCCAGCTACTCGGGAGGCTGAGGCAGAAGGATCGCCTGAGCCCAGGAGTTTGAGGTTGCTGTGAGCTAGGCTGATGCCACAGCACTCTAGCCTGGGCAACAGAGTGAGAATCTGTCTCAAAAAAAAAAAAAGATAATATTGCAATTCCCAGCCCTCATTAAAAAATCTGTTTTCTTCCTTCACCGTTCTGTTGGTCGTCTTTGACACGGTGGGCTATGAAACAGACAGAATTAAAAATACTATTGAGCTGTGCAACTATTCACAAATTCCACTTCAAACAGAAACACAGTGCACCGTTGTCAAAAGCTGATAACAGACTGGCATACTCGACCCCCATAAACTCTCACCAACCAGCCTCATGCGGTAGTGGCGCCAGTCAGGCAGGGGAAGTTAGAACCAAATCATGAGTGTAGCAGCCATCAAATTTAGCCCTCATGGTTTACTAACATTCTAATGGTGCCAGTCAATCTGGGAGGATTATTTTGTTGAAACTTATTTTATTCCTTGGTATTTTAAATATGTTCATTTTAAAAGTAAAATATAAAAGATGAACAAATATGTATTAATAAAAATAAAAGGATTTGTTCTGTAAATTTTGGATTCAGTCGAAAGGCTGCACTTAAGGACCTAGAAGGCCACATGTGGCCTTAAGGTCACAGGGTCCCCACCCCTGTTCTGGCCCTTTAGGTGGGCTCCAGGGGCCCATCACTTGCCAGGGAGGCTGGGCCCACTTCAGAGACATCCACTATGCCCGAACTCTGTGTGGATGCTTTTCGGTCCCCTGAAGATGTAACAGAGCCCCTGACCCCTAAGAAAGCAGGAAATGAGCAGGCAGGGCTGGACACTGGCATGGCATGAAAATTGGCGATTTCGTGGAAATGGAATGGGCTTCTGGAATGGGCTATGGACCTTGAGGAGGAGACACACCAGCAGAGAGGCTTCCTGGAGGTGGGAAGGGACCCCCAGGTAGAAGATTCTGGGGAGGAGGCAACTGACAACTGAAGACAAGACATGATGTGTGGGAGACGGAAAGGCCCTGAATGTCTGACCCTCTCCTGCTGCCCCCAGGCCCTCGCAGTCAGGACGCCGCCCTCATCGCCGGCATTCTTGTGCCTCTGCTGCTGCTGCTTCTGGGCCTCGCCTGCTGCGCCTGCTGCTGCTGGGCTGCCCGTTTGGACCCCAAGGACAGGTGAACACTGGCCTGGACCTTCCCTACCCCACAGCTCAGGGGTGGGACAAGGTGGCATCTGGTTTCCTTTCAGGGGTGGGGAAGGGCTGGCCTTGTCACACACAAGGTCAGAGGTCATGGAGGTAGTTTGGCAGGGGCTATGGCATGGAGACACCAGGTCAGCCACCTACCTTCCTCGGAAGCCTTCGATGGGGAAGTTGCACAAGTGGGGGCCACTGGGCACCAGGCTGGAAACCCAAACCTGCAGCAGGAGGCTGAGAACAGACCAGTGGGGACCAGAGGGGACATGGAAGCAGCAGCCCAGCTCTGGGCAGGGAGGGAAAGAGACCAGGCCTCAAACGCCCCAGAAAGGAGAGTGACATAAAAGTCTGCACAGCGGTTTAGCAGAGAATGTGGCTTTCTGAGAGACAGAGAGGGCCGCAGGGGATCGTTGCTCACACAGAGCTTTGTGGCTTTACGAAGGCTCTTCACATCTCTCGGCTCCTTTGAGACTCACAACAGCATGGGGGTTTGGAACAGGGCATGTGCGGGCGGGAGGATTATCGTCCCCAATCCACAGAGGACACTGAGGCCCAAGATGACCCAGTTAGTCACTAGCTTGCACAAAGCCCCCACCCAGCTTTCTGGACTCTTTGTCCAGTGCTGTCTCATTAGTTCACACGCTAATCCTTGAGCTTGTCCTTGTCTGGGCTGTGGGGCATTCACAGGTAAGCAGATCCAGTCGCCCCTGCCCTGGGGCATAGAGGCTGGGGGTGGGGGAGAAGCCCCTCACAGGAGCACGAGGACATGTGCAAAGTGTGCCAGAGGAATGGTGACAAGTGGAGCAGTTACTTCCAGCTTGGGGGTGGAGGAGAGTAGGGACAAGGACAGGCCTTCTGGGGGGGGTGCCACTTGAGACAGGTGAGCTGGGGTTCAGCTAGGATGATAGTAACAGCTGAATTTTGGGGAACTTCCACCAGGTGCCTGGCACTGTGTTGTTTCCTACAAAAAGCTCTGATAGATGGGATTGTTGTTCCCATTTTACAGAAGAGGAAACTGAGGCCCAGGGAGGTGAGGTCTGAGCCAGAGTTGTTACCCAGCTCCGTCTGACTCTAGACGCCCCTGGCAGGCCTGAATCTTGGGCTCAATGGTTTGGATTGTATTCTGAGGCCATTGAAATACATGGCTAGGTGACACAGGTCACCTTGGGTCTTGTGCAGAGACCACTGTCCCTATCCTACCCTCTCAGGCCAGTGAGAGATGGAACTGCTGTGTCCAGGATGAAGCTGCAGGTCTGCGGGGCACTGGCCAGCTTGGGCTCTGTGCTGCCCTGTGGTTCCCTCGGCACCCACAAACTACCCTGGGTGACAGGTAGGTGGGTGCTGGAGGTTGGGGGCTGGAATGGGACCAGGCTTCCCATCAGGCTCTGCACCTGACCCGGAGCCCCTACAGTCTCGCACCACGACCCGGAGATCCCCTTCAACCACAGCTTCATTGAGCCGCCCTCTGCTGGCTGGGCCTCTGACGACTCCTTCTCTTCTGATCCCGAGTCTGGAGAGGAGGACGAGGGCCCTGCCTACTGCGTGCCACCCCAAGAAGGTAGCCCCAGCAGCCCGCTTAGCCCCTGAGCGTCCCTGCCCGCCACACCTCTCCTTTAGTCGGCCTTCAGCAAACGTTGTTCGAGTGCCCATTCTGTGCCATCGCTGTTCCTGGCTCTGGAGTCACAGCAAAGAACAAGAGCGATTCCTGTCTTCACCAGGCTTATGGTCTGGGGGGCTGTAGTCAGACAAGTTGTCGGACAGTTACAGGACAGAGGGATACGTGCTTTGATGGGGCTTGTACACGCAGGGGCTCATAATCCAGCCATGGCAGGGAAGATTCTGTGTTAGTGACGTCAGAGTCAAGTCTGGCAGAATCAGTGGGAGTTAGCCAAGAGGAAGTTAGGGAGAAGCGGGAATGGTGTTTCAGGAAGAGGGAACAGCATACACTACACAAAGGCCCACAGGTGAGAGGGACCTGGCTCTGTGACACCGGAAGAGTCTTAGCTTGGTTAGAGTGTGGCAGTAGTGCAAGGTCGGAGGCTGGGGAGAAGAGTGTAGGAGAGGTAGTGTCCACCCGAATTGCCCTTCCCCTGCCTCTCTGCATTCAACTCTGCTCTTCGCCCCATTTCTGAGGCCTCCCGGAAGATGCTGAGCTGTGGGTGGGATGAATTGGGGAGGGCCAGCCCAGCTCCCGCCAAGCTCTTGTGTCTCCTCTGCCAGGGATGGCCCCTGTGGCCCAAGAAGCGTCGTCAGAGGCCAGCCTGACTGGAGGCCCCTTCCCTCCCCCCGAGGATGCCTCCACGCCATTCGCCATCCCACGCACCTCCAGCCTAGCCCGGGCCAAGCGGCCGTCAGTCTCCTTTGCTGAAGGCACCAAGTTTGCACCGCAGAGTCGCCGAAGCTCAGGAGAGCTCTCCAGCCCACTCCGAAAGCCCAAGAGGCTTTCCCGGGGTGCCCAGACAGGTCCTGAGGGCCAGGAGGCCGAGGAGTCCATAGGCCCAGAGCAAGCAGAAACGGATGAGGCCCCTCCTGCTGCTGCCAGCCCCAGGGATTCAGCCACTGGCCGCCGGTGGGTTCCGCTCGGAGGCCGGACAGTGGCTGAGCGTGTGGAAGCCATCGAGGGCAGTGTTCAGGAGAACTCAGGCTCTGTGACCACGATCTACATGCTGGCAGGGACGCCCCGGGGATCTGAAGGCCCTGTCCGGTCTGTCCTCCGTCGTTTTGGTAGCTTCCAGAAAGGCCAGGCAGAGCCCAAGGTCAAGAGTGCCATCCCTAAGCCTCCACGCCGGGCCCTGAGTCGGAACAAGGGCAGCCCAGGGCTGGCCTCCGGTTCTCCCAGCCAGAGCCTCAACTCAGCCCCAAATGCCGAGCTCACTGGGGCCGTGGAGTCAACAGGGGTCAGATCAGAGGAAATGGCCAGGGGGCTGGGGACTGGCGCTGAGAGCTCAGGGAGGGCCCAGGAGCTGGTCTCTGGGGGTAGCCCCCCAGAACAGGATCCCCAGAAGCAGGCTGAAGAGGAAGGGCAGGAGGAGCCCCAGTATGAGAATGTTGTACCCATCTCTGGGCCACCAGAGCCCTGAGGACTTTGAATTTGGGGAGTGGGAAGACTATGGATGGGCCCAGGGGAACTGCCGATGGATCAGATTGTGCCTTGTGCTGGAAAATGATCCCAGGGCCAGAACAGACACACCAGAGCCTCTGCCTTCCCACAGAGAAAAGGCAAGGGTTGGAGGCCAGTTGGCTCTGGGCCCTGGCGGTACTCCAGGAGTGGGTCTGGAAGGCCTGGGCAGAGACCCCGCAGGACGGGGTCAGGAAGGGGGAAGAGATGGCTGCAGGGACTTTTCCTCTGTTGTCCTGGACTCTGTTAGCCCCAAAGAGCTATTCTTTCTTTCATTTGCAAAAATATTTTGGGAAACAACCTAAATGTTTGATGATAAAAGATTGGTTAAACAAATATTTCTTATAATATATTACTACACAACCACTAAAGATCATGTTGTGCAAGAATATTTAATATGGGAGAATGTTCGTGCTATGCTGTCAAGTGTGTAAAAAGGATTAATAAGTTACAAGTTAGGGTATACAGGACAGTTCCATTGTTTTCTTTTTATAAACTATTTCTTTTTGCCTTTGGATACATGTTTAGAAGTCTCCCTTTTGTGTATATTTTGTGATTGTCTAATGAACTTTTTTTTTAAAAGGATGTATGGGCTGGGCATGGTGGCTCATGCCTGTAATCCTAGCACTCTCGGAGGCTGAGGTGGGAGGATTGCTCAGGCTCAGGAGTTCAAGACCAGCCTGAGCAAGAACGAGATCCTGTCTCTACAAAAAAAAAAAAATAGAAAAAATTAGCCGGGTGTGATGGTGCAAACCTGTAGTCCCAGCTACTCGGGAGGCTGAGGCAGGAGGATCGCATAAGCCCAGGAGTTCGAGGTTGCAGTGAACTATGATTGAGCCACTGTACTCCAGCCTGGTTGACAGAGTGAGACCCTCATCTCTGAAAAAAAAGAAAAAATTATAAAAAGCAATGTTCTTTGTTAAAAATAAAAAGTACTAACATTACAGGCATGTATAAAGTAAAACCTAGATTTCCCTTCTCTCCAGAGGCAGTCTGGGAGGCAAGGAGAGGCAGGACTGACTTTTCACTGAATGTCTTTTGTTCTTGTTTGAATTCTTTGTTCACATATTATATTACCTAATCAGGAAAAAAAAAGGCTTCCCTTCTATTCCAGTGCTCAGAGAATCTCATTAACAGTTGAGGTGCTTCCTCTCAGATATTTTTCTATACACCCGTAAACAGATATTTTAAACAAAAACAAAAAAGCATATTAAGCACAGTTCTACACCTTGCTTTTTGACTTAACAGTATATCCTGAATATCGTCGGATGTTAGTAAACATAAAGCTACCTCTTTTTCTAAAAAATGACTACATGGGAATACATCCTGTAGAAATAACACAGGTTATTTAAACCGTTCCCCCTGCCCATGGACAGTTGGGTTGTTTCTAATTGTTTTGATACAATAAACAATGATGCAGTGTACAATTTTGTCTATATTTCATTTTGCATTTGTGTAAGTTTTTCTATAGAATAGATTCCTAGAAGTTGTTGAATTATAAGGGCAGGAACATTAGACATTTCTGTACTTACTCCAAATTGCCCTCCAAAAAAGTTGCATGGGTGTGTGTTCTCACAAATTATGGTAGTATCCATTTCCCCACACCCAATTTGGTAGGTTAAAAATGGTATCTCATTATTTTAGTACAACAAAAATAAGGTAATATATGTTAAACCTTTTAAGTTAAAATTCTATACAAATAAAATTTTTTTTTTGTTTTTAAACCATCAAAAATATCTAATAATTTGAATTTCTATGATTATTCTAAGGTAATAGCTATTTGTATTTTTCCTATAGGTTATCTGATTATATTCTTTTACCTATTTTCAATTGAGTTATTCATCTTTTCTGATTGATTTATAAGTGCCTTTTATGTATCAAGAATATTAATTCTTTGCCTTGCTTGTGGCTGGTCTTTTAATGCTGTTTATAATTTTTCTTTTTTTCTCTAAAAAAGTTTAAAATTTTAATTTAGACAGTCTTTTTATTTATGACTTCTGGGTTTCATGTTGTGCTTAGTGAAAAGGTCTTCTCTACCCTAAAATCAGCAAAATAATCTTCTACATTTTCTTCTGGTACTTTAGTAGTTTTATTTCTTTATGGTTTTCCAACAGTGCTGGAGTTGGGGCTTTTTTTTTTTTCCTTGACAAAAAGACTGAAAAAAAAAATTAAAACAGTTTCATTCAAATAGACCTGGGTTCAAATCCCAGCTCTTGACATTTTGACCTTGGAAAAGTTACCTAAAGCCTCAGTTATTTCATTTGAAAAACAAGAATGCCCTTCTCCCAGGGGTTGTTGTGGGGATTAAATGACACAAAGGACATAAAGCACCTGGTAAATGTTTAGCTGTCAATAAAAGGTAATTATTATTGACATTGCCATCATTCTCTCAGCTTTGAATGCTTTGTCCTCGAACCTGGTACATTTCACCCCATTTCATTCATTCATGTTTTCATTTGTTCATGTTTTCATTCCACAAACTCATATTGTGTGCCTGCTTTGTGCTTACTTCTGTATTTTATGGGCTGGTTATACACATACAAAGTTAATAAGACACCAGTCCTGCTCCCAAAGAGTTCATAGTCAATGGGAGGGAAAGACAAACAGATGAATAGATAATTATAAAACAATGCAATCTGCTGGGTGCAGTGGCTCACGCCTGTAATCCCAATACTTCGGGAGGCCAAGGTGAGAAGTCAGGAGTTGGAGTTTGCAGTGAGCTATTAATGATGCCACTGTACTCTAGCCTGGGCAACAGAGTGAGACCACGTCTCAAAAAAACAAAACAAAATGAATGCAATCAGTGGACAAAGATAGTGACAAGTATTATGGGGAGTGCTTAGGGAAGGCTTCCCAGAGGAGGTGCTGTCCAAGAAGGGACTATGTTGAGAGCCAGCAGGTGCAGGAACCACAAAGAATTCCATCTGATTGCAGCATCTAGGATCAGGCAGGTCAAAGAGCCTTCAGAGGAAGAAAGAGGGAGGAGCCTGTGTGGGATAAGTTTGGAAACTTAAACTTTATCCTATAGGACAAATGATAGAGTTTCTGAAGGAGTTTAAAAGCAGAGGTCAGATTTACCAAAGTCAGATTGGGATGGGGGATGGATTTGAGGAGCTGAGACTGGAGGCTAGATGAACAGTAGTTGAAGTCCTAGGGACAGAGATGGACAAATTAGATAAATATTTAGAAGATATGGCTGCATTGGTGTGGTGAGGGTGGGGCGGAGGAGAGGGAGAATCACAGAAGTTGCCTACCAAATAGCTGTTGAAAGGATGGTTCTCCGTATCTAACTTCAGTAAGTAATCATGCTATTATCTGAGAGAAAATGGGGGGAACAGTTTTGGGGGAGAAAGGGATTTATTTTAGATATACTGGAGACGCGTTTGAGGCCTGGAGATGGCCCTCAGGCAGATAGCTCAAGGAGGAGGCGGGGAAGGACTGGGGATTTTGTCAGGTGGCAGCGTAAACCTTGTGAGTGCGTGAAATTCTGCAGGGTAGGGAACTGGATAGGTAGGATAGGTAACCAGCCGACACTCCCCAAGCTTACTCCGAAGTACTGTCTGGGAGAAGTTGCCCTCGCCAGGTGGCCAACGGCGGGTTTACAGCGGTAGGGGGCGCACTCAGACTGGGGGAGGTGGAGTAGGAGCCTGCTGGGACTCCCACAGCTCTAGGGTGTTAAGCCAGCTGCCCCCTGGAGTGTGCGAAGGAGACCAAGCCGAATCTGGGGGAGACCAAGGGTCTTCCGAGGTCGGGCTAGTGCCTCGGATGGAGGAGACGCAGCCGGGCAGCTGATCCTTCAGAGCTGGGGCTTCATCCCCCTGCCCGAGTTGTTCCCTGGGGGCAGGTCCAGCTTGGCTGATAGATTGGGAGTCCCGAGCCCTCTGGGACCCTCGCGCTCTCCCGGAGGCCAGACTTGTGCTCGCAGCTTGACGTTGCCCACGGCGACACCCTGTAGAGAGGGCCCTTACCTGAAAGGAACGTCCGGAACAGGGTAGCAGGGGTGGGGGTGGCTCCGGGCAACGAGAAGGTGGGGTGGCCAACCCGGTTAGGAGCAGCACCAAGATGACCGGCTAGGGTGGGGGTCCCCAAGGGAACCGAGGAGAGTGGGAACGGGGATGAAGAGATCACAGTCTAGATAGGGGACCAGAGGAGACACCATCCTAGGACGGGACAGACAAGCCTCAAACTCCCACCTGCAGATCTCTAAGGGACACCTTCCAGGGACCGGGCAGATGGTATCTAGGAGAGGGGAAGGGATCGGCGAGTCAGGAGAGCAGGAAAGCGGTACACCACGCCTGGACTGGGATCCGGGGTCCGAGATGGGCAGATTGTGCCTGGGAGGGGGCCACCGAGGGCGCGAGCGCGCGGAGGAACCAGAACACAAAGCCCGTGGCTGCGTGGGGAGGAGTCAATGGGGGCTTCTAGAGCAGAACGACCCGACCCAACCCACGCGAAGCCAGAGCATCCGGGCGTGGTGCCCAGGGCGGAGGGGAAGTTAGGGACTACGCAGAGGGCCGCAGGAGAGCCGAGGAGGGTGCGCTGGCGGGGCCGGCGTGCATCCACCGAGGTCCAGGGGGCGCCGGAACGCCAAGCCAGCGACCCAGCGCAGGGTCAGGGCTCCAGGGTGGGGCTCCAGAGGGGCAATGGGGCAATGCCCCCGGGGGTTCTCAGCCTTCCAGCTTAAGGCAGCAGAGCCGCGGCACAACCCGCAGCTGCCCCCGGCCCCCCCATCCCTCTTGTTTGTCTCCGAGTCCGGCCGGAACCGGCTTCTGCTCGCGGCGGGGCGGGCGGGTGGCTGCTGATTGGTCAGCGTCTGTTTCCAGCCCCGACCCAGCCAATCAGCGGACGGCAGTGTTTTCATCTTGGGGTCGGAATAAAAGGGCTGGAATAAAAGGGGGCAGAAAAGACGCCGGGCGGGCCCGATACACACCAGTAGGACCCGGGTGAGCTGGACCCCGGGGATCCGGGCCGGGCCGAGGGTGCTGGGGGCAGATGCTGCACGCGAAAGGGCGTAAGGAGAGGATGCGTGCATAAAAGAGGAAAGAGACTGGGCGGATGAGGAGCCGCCAGCGACGAAATGACGAATAGAGGCGGGAGCTGGGGGATGGAGGGACGGGGTCCGCTTCCATGGAAACGGGCTAATTGCCGAGGTAACGGCCTGAGATGGGGGTCGCACGGCCAGCTCGCGCCGCCGGTTTGAACCGGCTTCGCCTCTCCCATGCCGGGTTCGCGTGGCCGCAGCGCCTAGCGACCCAAACTGTGGCCAATTGCGCCGCAGTTCCTGTGCCGTCAGGCCAATGAGCGGGCCGTGGGCGGGCCGTGCCGGAGCTCGGTGCGCCGATCTCGTGGTTGAAGGAACCAGCTCTGGGGAAGGGTCTGGAGTGCGGGCGGGAGGGCGCCTGTCAGGGTCTCCGGGAGTGGCAGCCCTCAGGTATGCCCCTGCCCAGGTAGCCGGACCGCAAGCTGCTTCCCCTTACGGCCTCCAAGCTATGTCAGTCCTGCTGGCGGCCAGGACTAGTTCCACATCTCTGAGCATACGTTAGTCTCTCGCTGCTTCCATGCCTCAGTTTACCTCAGATTGAGCTGAGGGAGAAGTCTCCCTGTCTGGCCGGGGCAGCTTAATCGTCACCGGGGGCAGCGGTGCGAGCCAGCCGCGGTTTCGAGGGTGGCCCAGGTCCCGGGCAGGGCTGGGGTTTGCTTCCTTCGCTGCGCGCACCTATTGCCGGAGCCTCGGAGGGATGACAAGTTCCGCGCCCTGCGGCAGCAGCCAGCGGCGGCCTAGCGATCTGGGCAGGGCCAGACGCTGACGCTGAGATCTGTGCGCAGGTGGCTGCAGAGCCGAAGCCGGGCCGCCGCGCCGCGCTGCACCATGGCGCCCACACTGGCCACTGCCCATCGGCGCCGCTGGTGGATGGCCTGCACGGCCGTGGTGGAAAACCTCCTCTTCTCGGCAGTCCTCCTGGGCTGGGGCTCGCTGCTCATCATGCTCAAGTCGGAGGGCTTTTACTCCTACCTGTGTACTGAGCCAGGTGAGATAGGCGCCTCAGGCTGGGTGGTGGTGGTACCTGGAATCGGGGCTTTGGGAGGGGGCGGGATGGAGGTGAAGACCTAGCAAGCAATGCCACCTCATTGCACAGCGCCTCCCAGGTACCAAAAGGCCCATTTGATCTTCATCATTGTCATCATTGTCGTGTTTTGTGAATGAAGAGATTGAAGCTCAGACCGATCTTCCGTCTTGCGCAAGACCACAACACAGCTGGGGACTGTGATAAACCCAGAACCCCACCCGAAGTCCAGGGTGTTCTTTCCACCACCCAGGAACACTGCCCGACTCCTCTCCTCCCAGTGCCTGGAACATAGCTTCATGGCTTGCCTCGTAGTAAACATGTTGCTCTCTGATGGTAAGAAAGAGGAACTCCTGATTCAGAGGCTGGGGTGCAGCAAGACAGAGGAAGTGACTTTGCCTCCACCCAAAGGAGGATTCATCTAGAATCTAGATATTTTTTAGTCAGGCCATTACGGTGTCTCCTAAGGGCTTGCTGGATACAGTTTCTTGTCTATTTTTGCTGCTTTATAATTCTCCAAACGCCATTTCCTCCCATGGGCTGTGAGAACATCTCAGTGGCCTTCAACCCCATGGAAAGGAAGGACTAGGGGAGAAGGGGGCATTTATGGAAAGGTTTGTTCCCTTCTCTTTGCCACACCATTGGTGTTGAGGCAGAGGGTGCTTGTCTACGTGAAATCTGCCTGTCCCTTCCCATCTTCCCTCCCCGTTTGAGGGCCCTAATTGCTGCAGGTCAGTAGGTTTAGCCCAACAGAAGGGCCAAAGTGACTGCCAGCCTCTACCCTCCACCCTTCTTCTTAGGCAACCTCGATAGGAAATGTTTGCCTCTGTCCTCTCTCTCCCTGCCCTAGCAGTAACTTCATAATAATTGAACTCACAAAATCTCTCTGCCTGGTGCTTAGTCCCCTTAGGTGGAGATGGCCCAGGTTTGACTCCCTGAATCACCACCTGCATGGCTTTTCTTTCTAGAGTTGTTACTCTGTAGAAAGAGAAAGCTTTGGACCAGCTCGTGCTGTCTGTGACCCTGTGTAGAAGCCTCCCTATTTGCCTTCTCTGATGTGCTTAGGAGATTCCTGAGTGTCCCAGTCTCTAGGGAGGCTTAGCTGGAGAGGTTAAGGGCAAGAGAAATGGAGGGAATTCAGAAGCCGCCTGGGAGAGGGCAGAAAGTATATCATTTATAACCAACCTTTAGCCTTTAGCCACTCGAAAATATTTCCTAATAGCCTAAGGGTTCTTGGCAGGCTTTTCCCCACATCAGCAAGAAATCCTGGGAGATGAGAAGAGTCAGACCTTGTTCCCTGAACAAGCTTTCTGCTTTGCCCAAGAGATGCTAGATTAATGACTCTTCTGGAAGGAACAGGTTGGGGTGTTTGGATTTTTCTCTCCTTTTGTCGCTCCTCCCTTTTAGATCATGCCCCTTCCTACTTGCCTCCCTGATGGGTGCCTTCAGGCTGCACAGAGGGTTTGAAAAACAGACAAAAATCACCATCCCCAGACAATGCTGTTAGTATCTCATCCAGACCAGAGGACTGTTATGTGGTCAGATATTTTTTTTTTTTTTTTGACCCACTGTGGCGTCAGGAAGTTCATATTCTAGGGTTCCCCCCGACCCAGATTATCCACTGATTTAATTTATTTTATGTTATTTGGCAACATTGGGACTGGTCACTTTATTCCTGCCTCGACCTTGGCTTCTTCCTTTGTTTAGGTGGGAGGAGTCCCAGAGATTGTGCCAACGTGGTGCTGAGCTGGTGTTTAAGCCCTTGGGAGACTTGACAGTTCACCAAAGTGAAGGTGAAGGGTCAGGATTGTGAGTTGAACATCAACTTCTTATCCTGTGCCTTTGCTCCTGCCTCTGATTTTGGCTTTTCCAATCGTCTGGGAAACCCGCCCTCCCAGCGTCCTTGCGGGAAGGCCAGCCGATTCCACACACTTTATCTCTCTGGCCTCCTTGCTCCTTGATTCTTGGAGGACACATAACCTGTTGACTTTCAGGGCCAGAAATCTCTACTCCCCCTGTCTGGGAGTGCCTGGCAAAGTCAGGGTCAAAGTCAGGGTTTCTGCTTAGGCCTAACATTTTCAAACTTGGTAGATGGCTGAATTTCAGAGAAGCAGTTATGCCATTATTGAATTTATTGAATTAGACTTGTGAAAAGCTGAAAAGTCTGCAGCTGGTTGAGATGCAAGTTTGTCAGCTCTCTGTTGCTTTTAGGACTGATGCTGTAGTTTGTTCTCTAAAGAAAATTTGCCTGAACCTGTGAAAAGGTTCTCAGAACTCTTTCTCAAGATTCCAGCCAGACTTTGGCCAAAGATACCGTGTTGGGTTCCAGCCTGGTGAGGTGGGAGAAGGAAAGGAACAGCCAGTTGCTCCGTTGCCCCTTGGTTTGCCTTGCCTTGCCCACTGGATGGGCAGAGAGATGAAAGGCTGGGGATAGGAAGCCGGGGGCAGGCACTTTTGGACTTTGCATAATGTCCACCAGGTTTTGGCCACAGCATGCCTCCCCGGTTCCCTTGGCAAAGCTGTGTCTTTTTGGCCTCCTGATGGCCACTGTAACCACCCACACCTGACCTCTTTTTTCATTTTCTCTGTTGTCCAGTGGCTCACTTCGACAGGGTCAGCTCGGGGGGATGGGGCTACCTGTGGATGCTTAATCTCCTCTTCGACATAACCTACACATTCAGTAAACATCGATTGGGGTGCAGAGCAAACAAGTCGTTGCACACAGACCTGTATAATTTCAAGTGGCAGTGGGGACTCCACAGAAAGCGGGGTGCCAGGAGCGAACAACAGTGGGAATGTGATTCTGACGGGGTGGACAGGCCTCTCCAGGGTTTAGGCCAAAGCCTGGAGGATGAGCAGGGTGAGTCAGGAGAGGAGGGGGCACTGCGAGGAGGAGAAGAGAGAAGGGGCTGGCTCAGCAATGGGAGATGACTGGAGAGGTGGGGAGGAGCTGGGGCCTGCAGGGCCAGGAGGCCACTTGGGGAGACTTGATTTTATTCTCAAGGCAGGAAGAAGCCTTGGAGGCGGAGAAGGGTGATGCTCTGATGCACCTATTAGAGACTGTTATGAATTATTGAGGGCTTGTCACAAGCTGGGTGTTAGGTGGGGTGGCATCTATGAAGGTGGAAGTCGTCACAGCCTCTGCCCGAGGAGGCCACAGTCTAGCCATGAACATGAAGGCAGACTCTGGTTCTGTGCTCTTGACCACCATGGTCACTCTGCCTGTGGTGGCAGGAGTGTATCTCTCACCTGGCACAAAGCAGGGAGCTGGCCTCCAGGGTCCCTGAGAGGGCAGAGGAGCTGCCATCCCCTGGGCAAGCAGGGCCAGACCTGGTCCCCACGAGGCTGGCAGGGCTGCAGATGTGGACAGGAGAGTTCACTGCTGCTGCAAGGACCTCCCTTCTTATAGTCTGTCCCATACCCACAGGCCAACGGTTGACAGCTTTTTAACATCCAACCTTTCTATATTATTGCTGTGAATATGACTGTTTTGAATTTTTCCCTTCAGTTTATTTGGAATTTTTAAAAAATTTGTAGCAAAGAGTAAGGGGGTCTAAAGGCTTGTGCGGACAGCCTCAGGATGTGTCTCAGAGAAGGGCTTATGCCCTTGGCTGTCCCTACCAACCTAGCCTTCCTCCTCGTTTCGTGACCTAATTTCCCTCACACACGTCCATTGGGCCCCCCTCCCCCCGGTTTCTTGGTGTCTCATGAAGGTCCTGTCCAGCTTGCGCTGGCTTTCAGGGGCCTCATGGGAGGGTCTTGGGGCAGTTGCATTCCCATGCCAATATTAAGGGCCACCTGGTGTTGCCCCTAACACTGTGTGACAGCCTTTTCCCTCTGAGGCGTGACATGCCTCTAACCAGGTAGGCCAGTGTCAGCACAGCCTAAAGGTTAAGAACAGGAGCTCCAGGATCTCACAGTCTGCATTCAAGTCCAGCTTCCCCATGGATCATCTATGAGACCTTTGGCAAGTGACTTACCTGCTCTGACACTCCCTGTATCTTGTGGAGAATATGGGGTAGAGGTAAGAGGGTGCTAAATGTCACAGGAAACGGAAAGCATTGAGCACAGAAGCCAGCACACACAGGCGCTCTGCAAACGGCAGCAGCTGCTGCTGCTGCTGCTGCTGCGACCACAGCTAGGGGGCTAGGCCCTGGTCAGCCCAGGACGGCCTCTGACTGTGTCCTATCTCTTGTTTGCTCTGTGTCTGAGCCGACCTCTCACCTACATCTCCCCTGCTGGACTGAGATGCTGCTTCCTGTTGCCGGATAGACTAAGGATTTGAGAGAGACAGGAGATCCTGGGGCAGGGCTGTCCAGGGGCCCGCACCCTGAAGTGGGGGGACTCAGAGAGCAGGCTGTCAGAGATGGGGCTGCTTAGGAATTTACAGGGGACCTCAAGCTACTTGCCACCCGGCCCGCGCAGGCATCATCCAGCCAGCTGTGCTGGAGGCTCCCCGCTCCCTTCATTTCTGTGGGGTGGGGGAGGCCCCTCTTTGACCTGGGGAGGCTTGGGGGAGTCCGAGTGGGGTCACAGCTCCCTCTTTTCTCTCCCCTGCTTTCTCTGTAAAGATTTTTTTGTTTGCGAGTCTTCTGTAAGTAGGGCCGAACAGTGCAGGGCATTGTTCTTTCTTTCCTGGCCCTGGGTCTCCTCCGAAGCAGCCTTATTCCTGTTCCTGGCACACTCTGGCCACACCAGCTCCTTGCCTGTCTTCCTGGTTCACCTTCCCTGGCTGGGCTGGGCCACTCTGGCCGCCTACTAAGGAGGCATCTGTTTTTTTTTTTTTTTTTTTTTTTTGAGACAGAGTCTGGCTCTGTTGCCCGGGCTAGAGTGAGTGCCGTGGCGTTAGCCTAGCTCACAGCAACCTCAAACTCCTGGGCTCAAGCGATCCTCCTGCCTCAGCCTCCCGAGTAGCTGGGACTACAGGCATGCGCCACCATGCCCGGCTAATTTTTTATATATATATATTTTTAGTTGTCCAATTAATTTCTTTCTATTTTTTCGTAGAGACGGGGTCTCGCTCTTGCTCAGGCTGGTCTCGAACTCCTGACCTTGAGCGATCCATCCGCCTCGGCCTCCCAGAGTGCTAGGATTACAGGCGTGAGCCACTGCGTCCGGCCGAGGCAACTGTTTAATAAGCAGGTATAGGCGGGAGCAGAGCCTGCTGGGCTGGGTGAGGGCTGAGCTCTGGGCCGTGAGCGGAGCAGCACTTCCTGGGTGCTTATCTGTTTTTGTCTCTTTCCTGGCCCACGGTGGCCCAGGTGGGAGCAGAGGGAGAGGAGCAGCCTAGGTGTGACTGTGTTTGGGCATCTGCTGGGTCTGCGATTAGTGTGGGCTGTTTACTGCCAACAGAGCTTCTGGGCTCACCAAAGGTTTCCTTCCCTGCAGGAGTGAGGGAGAGTCTCAAATTACTCCGCAAGCAGACAAGAGAAGCCACTCAATCCCCCCCAACCCTCAGGCTCATCTGTTGCTGTACATCATTGCCTGAGGAAGGAGGGCAGAGGGCCAGGTGTCCCCATTGGCAGGCATTTGTTTAAGGAAAGAAGGACTTAGCATGCCAACTGCAGAAGAATGCAGAGGACTCTCTAGCCCAGGGGCCAAGCGGCATGGGTACGATAGAGTCTGGAAGGTGACTTAGGACAACTTAAGGCTGATTATGTTGTCACTAGCTTAAATCTACGTTGCAGTTCACCCCCACAAACAGGCTTTCAGAGAGGGTAATGGGAGATCCGCATGCACAGTAAGACTCAGGTCATGTAAGTAGCTGTCCATCAAAGTGGTTCCATAATGACATCTGAACCACGGGGAGGTTCCTATCCGGACACGATGAAACAAGACCCAGACCATAACCATGGTCTCTTATGCTATGACACAGGGTCCAGTCATCTGTGGCATATATATCTTGCTCTGTAAACCTATATCTTGCTCTTGCTCTATAATTCTATCTTGCTCCCCCTTAATAAATTTCACCTCGTGCTTGCCTTAAAAAAAAAAAGAAAAAAGGGAAAGAAGGCTGGTGGCCTAAAGTGCAAGCTCCCTGCTCCTGTATGTAGTGGCAGTGAAAGATGAGAAGGACAGATACCCTTGCCTCTACCCTAACATCTCTCCTCAAGAGCCCCCCGGTCTAGTTACAGGGGTGACCAGATCTCTAAACAATTTAATATATTTCCACCCCTATCCCCACTTCTAAAAAATTAGGGAGACTGCCTTGGGTACAATGCCTTGGGGTTTTATATTCTGTCTCAATGAGAAGAGTCATGGATTTAGAGATGCAGCTGTGGTTCCTCTCTGCGGTGACTGGGGGGTGGGGTGGTGCTGGTGTCTCTATGCAAAGGCAGTGCTGCCTCATTCACTCCGTTCCTCGCCCCCTACAGCTCCCTGCTTGCAGCAGTGCCTGCGGCACCCCAAGCCCTGAGTTATTCCGCATCCCCCAGTGTAGTAACTGGCTCCAGACCCTGCATGGCCATGATGAGGTCTCACGAGCCAGCCATCCTGGGCCCTGGAGTGCCCTCTCCACCTGTCCACTCTGTCGCATCTGGGCTGGTTTGCTCATATCTGCATGTTGACCTGGAAATGTCCATTGCTGTGTAGAGACCCTGTTCCCCCGACTTCAGATCCAGTTCCTATTGCTACTGGCAGAGCTGACATCTGAAACCAGCACCAACCTGGGAAGCCACCCTGCCTTTCCAGAAGCCGCTCCACAGTGGATAAGCAGCTCAGGCCTGTGGGCTGGGGCAATGTGTGTGACAATTCTGAGCTGGATGTTAAGGGTACAGGCCATGTATTTTGCTGCCAGCGTGGTGGGGCCTCTTTTAGAAAACAGAGAAAGTGGTGGGGGTGGGAATCTGGCTGGTTAGGTTTGTTTCTGTGGTTTCAGGTGGTTGACCTTGTGGCTATAATCTCCTTAAATCCCCTCTGTATTCGACTTGGTTCTGTATGTCCTACTGTCATTCCTCTCTCTTGATCCTTTCGGCCATTGTCATCTGCTTCCATTTTTCTATTCATTAAATAAAGAGCTACTATGGGCCAGAACCTGGGTGAGAGGCTGGGGACACAGAAGGGACTAAAGCACAATCCCTGCCCTTCGGACCTCACAGCCCAGTGGGAGATGAGACGTGTCTTCACGCTGGCACACACATGGAGGATTGGGCTCCCAGTTCCTGCGCCCACCTCTGCTGCCAGCTGGTTGTACCATTACCTCTGTCCTGAGCCTCCAAAAACTGTAATAATAATAATAATAACTTTTAGCTATTATTTATTGAGCGGTTTTTATGACCTCTAGAATGTTATCTGGATTTTCTCATTTACCTTCCCCCAAATTCTAGGAGGTAGACATTATTATTATTATAATATGCCCATTTTACAGATAAGGAAGCTGAGATAGACGGAGGTTATATAAGTTGTAAGTGAATGGAGGAACCAAAATTGAAACCCAGAGGCCAGGTCCCAGCACCACACTCTCAGCTAGCATGCCCCGAGCAGGGCTTGTTGGTCAGAGGTTGGCATATGGCATGATTCACCCCACGGGTGTCATTTTCAGCGACCTTGGGGCAGCCCTGAGAGGCCTGAGCAAGCCTTTGCAGACCTCAGCTTTACAGCCCTGGCGCCAGAGGGCTGCAATTGGGAGGCAGGCAGTTATCTGGAGGAAAGTATTTCTTGACTCTCCCAGTGTGACCTCGCATCTAATCAAAGTCTGCTCCTGTCTCTGCAGGATTAGTCAGCATCTCTTAACTAGCAGTCCCGGTGAGAAGAGTTCCTCAGCCGCCCTGCCAGCCCTTCTTCCCTGCTCCCACCCTCAGCTGCCACAGCACTTTTCTCTCTCTTTTTGTGTTGTTTCAGTGCTGGGTGGACTTTGGAGGGAGCCCTTAAGGGCTGGGATTACAACGCAGGTGTGGCTGACACATCAGGCTGGGAGGCTCGGCACCCAATGGGGTCTGAGTGTGGTCACAGGGGACAGCAACGCAATGACCCCGGTCAGAAAAGTAAGAAAGGTGCACCTCCATGTGTGAAAGCAAATAACTTTGGTTGATAAAATAACCTTTCCAAAGAGGTTCTAAGACATAGTATATGTGGCAGTTGATGCTGTGAAAATATCAGGGGGAGAAAGTGGCATGTGGCCTTCTGTGTTTGAGAGGGTAACTGTACCTACCAAGAGAGGAGGCAGGGAGGCCCACTCAGTCTTTCCAAACTGACCGAGGAGGACCAGGGTGTTGTAGTGAGACCAGCAGCTTGTCCTTCCCAAGTGGTCTAGGTCTGTCTCCATCCTGGCTATAGTCTGTCTCATGGACAAAGCTGTTGAGAAGGTTCTAGCCAGCCTGGGGCCCCACAGCCAAGGCTGGGTCCTGAGGTCTACTGTTCCAGGGTGCAGGGTACTCTAGAATGGGAATCCCAACCTGGGGCTCATCAGTGCTTTAAGGGACACATGAAGCCCCTGAAACCGTGGACAAGACTTTGAGCACACTTTCTGGGGAGCAGGAACACAGCTTTCTTTATTGGATTCTCCAAAGGGTCCATGACTCCCACAAAAGTTAAAAACCTCTGTATTTTTGCTCCAGGGGGCTGGAGCCAAATGGACATCCAAGCCTGCTGTGGGGTGGCCTGACACTCAAGGGGTCTAGAGCCAGCCCTGGCATTCCCAGTGGGGTGGCTCTGAATGTGCACCTGCCCCTCTGATCTTTGGGAATCTCTGCCATGACGCTGAGGTCAGGTTTCCCTCCCTTTCTACACAGAGAATGTCACCAATGGCACGGTGTGGGACACGGCAGAGCCGGAGCACAAGGTGGTGAGCTGGATGAATGGCTGGCTCAGCTGCCAGGCCCAGGAAGAGATGCTGAATTTGGCCTTCACTGTGGGCTCCTTTCTGCTCAGCGCCATCAGCCTGCCCCTGGGCATCGTCATGGACAAGTACGGCCCGAGGAAGCTTAGGCTGCTGGGCAGGTCAGTGCGGTTCCATCGGGGTGGGCAGATGGGCCCCCAGGATGAGTTCCCTGCTGTCAGCTTCCTAAATGCCTGCCCAGAGTGGGGTTCCTACCCCAACTGCCACCGAATCTGTAGTTACTGTGATCTGCGCAATGTGCTGTGTGGGAAAAGCACAGGACCTCAGGCTTACCTGGGAGGCTCTGGAGTTGCTTGTCATTAAGAACACTGGTTTCCAAAGTCTGTTTGACCTTACATCTCCACTAGAAAAAAAGATTTTTTTTTGTTTGTTTGAGACAGATTCTCACTCTGTTGCCCAGGCTAGAGTGCCGTGGCATCAGCCTACCTCACAGCAACCTCAAACTCCTGGGCTCAAGCAATCCTTCTGCCTCAGCCTCCTGAGTAGCTGGGACTACAGGCATGTGCCACCATGGCCGGCTAATTTCTTATATATATATTTTTAGTTGTCCGGCTAATTTCTTTCTATTTTTGGTAGAGATGGGGTCTTGCTCTTGCTCAGGCTGGTTTTGAACTCCTGACCTCAAGTGATCCACCCGCCTTGGCCTCCTAGAGTGCTAGGATTACAGGCGTGAGCCACCACGCCCAGACTAGAAAAAAAGATTTTCAACGTGTACCTCTGATGTAAGCACGTGGAATTATAAATGATATATGTGTATGCCATTTTTAATGTTTTATGTGCTTTTTGATACATATGCAACAATATAAATGAAAATGGATGACATTAAAAATTACAACATAGAAGTCCTAATACACTGGGACCCTCATGAATCATCTTGTGCACCCCCCACCAGGGTGCCAGAGTGTGTGTCCCTGGTCTAGTCTCGGTTGGTCAAGGTGGCTCACACCTGTAATCCCAGAACTTTGGGAGACCAAGGTGGGAGGCTCGCTTGAGCTCAGGAGTTCAAGACCAGCCTGAGCAAGAGGTAGACCCCATCTCTACAAAGCATAAGAAAAATTAGCTAGGTGTGGTGGCACATGCCTGTAGTCCCAGCTACTTGGGAGGCTGAGGCAGGAGGATTGCTTGAGTCCAGGAGTTTGAGGCTGCAGTAAGCTATGATTGCATCACTTCACTCCAGCCTGGGTGACACAGCAAGACCCTGTCTCTTAAAAAAAAAAAAAACAACAAGAACAAAAACCAAAACCTCTAGTCTGCCAAATTTAGGGTCAGTTCCCTAAGCAGCTGGCTCTCTCAGGCCAGGGTCCTCCTCAGCCCAGTTCCCAGTGGGAATGGTCACCTTGCAGGACAGTGGTTTGCAGTGAGTGAGACCTGTGCCTGTGAAGGGAGTGGGTGAAGGATCAGCTCCAATTCACTCTTCAGAGCTGAGGAGGCCTTGGTCCCCAGGGCAGAGCCAAGTGGAGGGGATTCGGGAACAGCCACTCATTGTGCCCATGCCCGGTGGGGTTTTGTCCATCCCTGGCTAAGGGCATAGGAACCTGAGGAAGGAGTGGTTCCCTTTCTCACTTCGGAGACTTGGCTGCCTCTGGTCTGGGGGTAGGAGAGGGCAGTGCAGTGTGGTGTTTGTAAGATCTGGCTTTGGAGCTTGAATTCCAGCTTAACCACTTACTAGGTAAAAGATCTTGGAGAAACTAGTTTTAGTTTTATTTTTTTATGAGATTTATTTGTCTCATCAGTAATTTGGGGCCAATTATTCTCCTTAGAATTGTTAATTAAATGAAATAATGCATGTAAATGTTCTGAAAATGATAACATATTAACAATAACAATGAGTAATGTAGGGATAATAAGTAGTGCACTATTTCTGCTTGGTTTTAGTGCCTGCTTTGCTGTCTCCTGCTTGCTGATTGCATATGGAGCAAGTAACCCAAACTGTGAGTACACTTTTCCTCCACCCTTTTGTCAGGGGCTGGGGAGAGATTGCCCAGAGGTGCTCCCAGGCTCACCTGCTCTTGGATGCTATACTAGGCCTGGTGCTCGCTGTTCAAGTTAGAGAGGACACCTAGTAGGCCTTCACTCAGTTACTTATCTGAAATGAATGGCTGGATCAGAGAGCAACTAACTGCCCCAGACAGAAGTCTGACAGAAGCTCCTAGGGTGTGTGAAACTCTCATCACCAAAGCAAGTCAGTCCCTGATGAGAGACAAGTTCTGACAACCAGGCCAAGGCTGGGTGTGGTGGCTCATGCCTGTAATCCCAGCATTTTGGGAGGCCAAGGTAGGAGGGTTGCTTGAGCCCAAGAGTTCGAGACTAGCCTGGACAACATAGTGAGACCCTGTCTCTAAAAAAAAAAAAAAAGATAAAAAAATTAAAAAGAACCAGGCCAGCTGCAGGAGCACAGGCGTGGTCCTCGGTGTGTTGCAGAAGTTGTGAGCTGAGTCCTCTCAAGGCAGCCCAGGCCAGTACTTTAAGGATGGATTAGAAGCCACCTGGTCCACCACCCTGTTCGGGTGGAGCTGTTGCTTCAAGGACTTTTAGAACAAACACCAAAATAAGACTTGAGTTTTACCAAAATCTTAGGCAGGTTCATCTACTGATTTTCAGGAATCTGTATTTTTGGTTTCAGTGAAGCAGCTTCTTTAGAGCTCTTGCTTGCTGCTAATGTTAATGGAGAAAGGAGGACAGGTATGCACCTTTTGCAAGAGGCTAAGCGCTGTGAAATAGGCAAGAGGAAGAGGCTGTTCCAGCTCTCCAGGTGTCAGGCACTAACCAGCCCTGATGACTTTTCATTCATTCAGCCTGCACTTGCTGGGAGCCTGCATCATGTAGGCACTGGGCCCATGCCTGGCCTCCCTGAAGCCCAGCTGTGGTTCCCACTTATGAGCTTTCTGTTTCCCTACAGCTCTCTCAGTTCTCATCTTCATCGCCCTGGCTCTGAATGGCTTTGGCGGGATGTGCATGACCTTTACCTCATTAACAGTAAGTATCGATTGTTTTTAAAGAAGATCTCTAATTCAGTCATCTGCTTGTGAATTTGGGGCCGTTTCCATTGGTTTCCATTTCCTTGCCTTCCATTCGCCATCATGTGCCTGGACGTCCCAGGTGGCAGAGGGGCTGCCGGTGAAGCGGCCTGGCAGTAGAGCTAGTGGTCGCCTCCCAAGCTGGCAGGTCCTGTAGGCAGCAGGGCATGGCTCTCAGAGTGACCTGGTTCCTGCCTTCTGACCCAGGCTTTGGCACTGAGGAAGCAGCTCATAGCCACATGCCCAGGGAAGACAGGAGCAGGGAGACAGAAAGCTGCTGCCCACTTCCTTTTCTTGTTTTCCATGTCACCAGAGTCTCTGGGCGATTTGGTTAACAGCACAGACTAAAAACAAACCTCCCTTGGAATCGCCCCAGCCCTAACCATTACCTTTGTCTACAACTGAATGAAAAATCCCCTCTCTTCTTAGTTTCCTAAATGCCAGAGTACAGACAGCCCTTCTGGGCAGGGAGATGTTTCCTCAGGATACTGAGCACCCCTTATCTGGAGCACCAGGACATCACAAAATGGGCTTCTTGTTGAGGTGGGGGGTGGGGAGGCTGAAGGAAGGTACAGGTTGAAAGAAAGAAAGTCAAAGGAACCAAAAAGTCTTCCCCAGAGGGAGGAAGGGAGGTCGGGCAAAGGTGCCATTCAGAGTTGGCCATCGGGAAAGAAGTATGAGTAGTAGGCTCTTCAGAGAGACTTCTGTCCAGCAGGGAAATCTTGCCTGCCTCAGTTTATCTGTGAAAAAGGAAAAAGTGTTAAAGACATAATACCTACCATAACTACTTTCAGTGCACTCTGGTTTCTGATTTCTCTTTCCACTAAGACGTCAGGAGTGGCACTGTTGCAGGGGAGTTGTTCAGCTTTGAGGGAGCTCTGGGGACTTCTGGTCCTCTTCTAAGGAGCTTGTCGAGGTCCTGGAATCTCCACAACCCCGCCTGTAGGCAGCGAGCCAGCGGCCAGGCCCAGTGTCTTTTCTGTCACCTTTCCTACACTTGCCTTGTTAGCTTCGTCCTGGCGGAAAGGATTGACTGTCTGGGTCTAGATCTATAGAAATGGCGAGTTCAGTGACATCCGTGTTAGGTGAGGAGAGCATGGCACAGGGTGGCATGTCTGGTATGCGCACAGGGTGGGTGTCCACAGGGCGTGGATGACACGCATAGATCTGGGAACGCCAGTTGCTTTGTTTCTGCCGTGCCGGGTAGATTTCCTTTGCACTCTTTTGGGCGTTTTGATTTTGATTTTTTTTTTAACCAGGTAGATTTAAAAGGAAAATGGATACATTCTCCTTCTCTCAAATTCCCAGAGGAAAACAAATTTCGAAACTGTGAAAAGTATGTTCAAACTGTCAAAAGCACACAAATTCTATTAAGTTGTGTAAACTGGGAAACAGGGAGTCCTAGTTCTGTTTGTTCTTTATAGCGTGAAAACCACCAACGCTTTCATCATGGGGAAAAATAAAAGCTGGTGTCACCCCTGTTATTTCAGTCATGCTATGCCTCTGTCATGGCAGGTCTGAATTTCAGGGATGAAAGAATGAGATGGCCCTTGAACCTGAGGAGTTTACACTCCGAAATCCAGCAAGATGCTCTGTTGAAATAAAGTATAAGATAAATGGGTAAAAACCACCGTACTATGAATCCCCTTTAAGAAACCCTTTAAAATGAACTGTGTGGTTGTTGCCCAAGAAACTTTTAGGAAAGACTAATAGGCCTGTACTCCTTTGTCTTCCCTTTCCTTTCTTTTTTTTTTGAATTGGGTAGTGCTCAGAATAAGAGATTCAGAATGCTCCTTTTCTTATTTTTTATGATTGTAAAATAAAAATGTTTTTGTTTTAAAAATTTAACATTTTGAGAAATATAATCGTAAACTAAAATTCTATCAGTCTACCTTCAGAGTTCAGAATAGATTTCTTCAGTATATTTTCTTAATCTTCATATAACAATGTTTTTCTTTTCTTTTTTTTTTAAAGAACTGTTATAACTTGCCTATTTCACTTCATGTATGTTTTACATCTTTTCCTGTCAGTACTTAGAGATCTGCCTTATTATTTTAAACTCTAGAGATCTACCTTATGTTAAACAGTTCCATACTATTCCTTAATATAGATGTGCCATAATTTATTCAACCAGTTTCCTACTAATGGACATTTGGGTCGGTTTCCAATTTTTACAATCTATGAATGCTGCTGATGTGAATATCCCTGTACATGTATTTCTGTAAAATAAATTCCTGGAAGTGGAATTGCTGGGCTACAGAATGAGCATGTTTTCAAATTTAAAATGTACTGTTAAATGGTCTAGAAAGGTTACTTGCTGATACAAGCCTACCAGCATGTAAGAGAGCCTTTTTCTCCCTACCCCCTCTAACAGCATATCATTCGCCTTTTAAACATTAGCCAGTCTGATCTGGTAAAAAATGATATACCATGATTTTTCAAATGTCTTTAATTATTAGTGAGGCGGAGCGTCCTTTCACCTCTTTATTTGTCATTTGTGTTTCTTCTGTGAATTGCTTCTTTGTGTCATTTGTGTATTTTTCTACAGTGTTCTTTATCTCTCTCTCTTTTTTTTTTTTAAGTGATTTGGAAGAGCTCTTTCAAATACAAAGAAACTAATTCTCTTTCTGGGTGAGCAAGGGATCTTACCCTAGGGTTGTTAGGTCTCTACATGGTACATGAATAGGCTCCAGGAGGGCTGCACAGCCCCTGGGAATGGTATGCACACAAGTCGTGTGTATGTGCTGCTCAGCTGTGTCTGTCTTGGCGGAAGGTCCATTGCTTTCATCAGCCCCCAACAGGTATGTGTGAAGGCTAAAAACCACCTGGCAGGAGCATTTCTATTAGCTCCTTGCTCTCCCACAGAGAGGCAAGAGGCTACACAGGCCCCACAGTGACCAGGCAACAGAATCGCCTGACCACCATTCAAAGCATTTGGTTACCAGGGATCTGTCTAGGAGAGTCTGGAGGCTTGTCCACTGTCCCCATTCTTGGATCTAGACCAGGGGGTCAGCAAACCACCACTCCCAGGCCAAATCCAGACCATGCCTGTTTTTTTTTTTTTTTGATTTTTCAAGAATATTTTGAGATGGAACGTCACTATGTTGCCCAGGCTTGTCTTAAATTCCTGGGCTCAAGCGATCCTCCCACCTCAGCCTCCCAAGTAGCTGGGACAACAGGCGTGCACCACCACACCCAGCTAATTTTTCTATTTTTAGTAGAGACAGGATCTTGCTCTTGTTCAGGCTGGTCTTGAACTCCTGAGCTCAAGCTATCCTCCCGCCTCGGCCTCCCAAAGTACTAGGATTACAGGTGTGAGCCATCGCCCCCAGCCATATCACCTGTTTTTGTAAAAGAAGTTTTATCAGAGCATAGTCATGACCATTTGCTTACGTATTGTCTATGGCTGCTTTTGTGCTGTAACAGCAAACTTAAGTAGTTGTGACAGAGACCATGTGGCTTGCAAAGCCTAAAATATCTACTATCTGGCCCTTCACATAAAAAAAACTGCCAGCCCTTGGTCTAGAGGCCCTAAGAAGCTGCAAAGTCACCATTCCCTGTCTGAGGGCAGGGGCTGACACACACTCCCAACCCCCACCCCCACCCCTACCCCCTCTAGTTGCACAGGCCAGCTCTTTATGTACTTTCTAAGTCATCTCTTTCCTGCTCCACACCCCTGGCCTGCAGAGGTCTCCTTGGATATTCCCCTGTCCCATGAGGCCTCTGATGAGGGCTCTAGCACCTACTCCTCTTGAGAACAGACCCTGAAAGAGAAATGAGACGCAGGTCAGCGAGGACAGGGCCAGAGCGGTTGGGCAATGTTCTTGGGCTGACCAAAGCTTCTGCTGAGCAGCGCTGAATCTCACTCTGACACCGCCCAGGCCTTTAAAAAGCAGAACTGTCAGGATCAGCTTCCAGAGACGCCTAGCTATCAGCACAATGGCACTTTCTGTTTGTGTCTCCCACCCATGTTCTAATTTTGGGGACAAAGGAGTCTTCAGGATTGCCTTTAGGAGCTTCATAAATCTAATCTCCTACAACTGCTTTGGGGCTATAGATAATTGCTCCCTGATAACCTAGGAATTTGGGGGAATGTGTTGCCATGGAAGCCTTAACTTGGGGACTTTCTCGGTCCCAAGGGGTTTTGTGTTGCAGGGGCTGTGAGCTATTGCTCCATTGGTGGAGAGGGGGCCCCAGGTTGGCAAAATGCCTTTCCTCACAGTCTGGGAGGAGATGGCCGATAGCCCTCCTCACAGAGCCTGTGAGGTCTGCGCTCACAGGTGGCTTCCTCCTCCAGAGTAGAGGCTCAGAGGGGCAAGGGTGGATCTCATGCCAGGTGACCTGGGCCAGTGTGTGGCATCCTTGGAGGGCGGGTGCCAGGTCACGCCATGGGTACAGAGCCCTCCCCACGGTGTGGAGCCGCAGCCGCTCCCCTGGACATCTGGACGGCACACTCTGGTCTGTTTGCCCAGTGCCTTACGTTTGTACAGCCCTTTAACTCGCTTCATCAGCTGGAGCACAAACACCGGCTGGCGACCGAGGCGGCGTCTTTGGGTCGCCACCCCACAATCCGGGGCCGGGGTTGCTTAGAGATGGGAGCAGATGCAGCCAAAATTGTGAACATATCTTTTCCACTTCATTACTCTGACCCCTGTCAGTGTGGGCGGGTCAGAGAGTTCTCAGCTGAAACCCTCACAGAAAAGGGGTTACACAAGTTGCCAGACTCCTTAATGAAAAATTTCTCTGTGGGCTTTTCCCATCCAATTCATATGAAGTCTGACTTTAAACCTGAGGAAGAAATGGTCCCATGGGAGAGGGGATCTGAGTTTGAAGCAAACAGAATACACATCCCTCTTCAAATAGCTGAGAGAAGGGCAGGGGAGCGAGTGCCCCCAGAGAGGGGAGAGGGGTTTGGCATTTCTGCTTAGTGGACTAAGCCAGGAGAAGGTCCCACCGTGC